TTAAAATGAATTTATTAAAAATTTATTATTAGTTTTAAATTATTATTATTAAATTATTATTATATCATTATTATTGCAGAAAAATTAATATAATTGTAAATTTATCAAAATTATTAAAATTCGTTAATATTTACTGAAGTTTATAAAAAAATCTTAGAGAATTAAAAAAAATATAAATTATGGATATTAATAGTCAATTAATTTTATTTATATTATTTAGCTAATTTATTAAAAAATTTCGTGTGCAATTTACGAAATGTTTTTTATCAAAATTTATGAATAATTAAATATGACATAAAAAACAATTAATTTTATTTTTGAATAATTCAATTAATCAGCGTGTAATTCATTTTTTTGCTTAATTTTTTCAAAATAAACATATATAACGATGATACGATGATAATTTATTTTTGCCTTTAATGCGTTTACAACTGAAAATTTTATTTGTTTAGGAACAAGATAATGTTTGATTATTATTTTGTAAAATAATACTTCTATTTACATCTATTTATGATGATTAACTAGGTCAATGTCAATATTCTAAAATTATCATTTTTAGATAGTATTGGTAGCAATTTTTAGATGAACTACTGATAAAAGTGTTCTTTTCATCTATACCGCATTTTTCGATAACGAATTGGGTATAAGATTCGTCGAAAGATAAGCTAAGTCTCATCTTATTTCTGAATTCAATGCGCTCATTTACAATATTTATTTGAGAGAGGAAATAAAGTAAAGGCGGCCAAATTTAGAGCTTTTTTGTGCTGGTACCACAATTCAAATAGGTAACTAAGTAAAATCTAATATATCGTTAAGATGAAAAAGAAACTCGTAATATATGTTCGAAATTCGATTAGTTTTTAGAAATGAAATTAAATCATTAAAATTAAAATTAAAATATTTTAGCATTAAAATCGATGTAGTTTTATTTAGTCGTTATTTCGTAAAAAGTTCATATTATTTTGCAAAATAAAATAGTTTCATCGATCATCGATATTTGTCGACAATCACAAATGATACAAATGATATATATTTAAAGGACAAACAAATTAAATAGACAAATCGGCGAAAAGACTAATTTTCAAGACGAATATAATAAAAATTATATGCGAAACTAGAAAATTTCACTGGAAAATTTCAGTATTATTCCCAAATTCTTTATGTGCCAACGAATAAGGCATTTTTTCATTATATTTGCATAGCTTCTCGATTTCTTTTATTTAAGTAAATTTTATGAATGAATTTTCTATTTTCCATCAACAACGATTTTCATTTGACGATATATGTATATGGAATTTTTTCCATTTTTCACTTTTTTGGAAGTAACTAACTCTCACAATTAATTGAATTTTCATTCGTACTACTTCGTTTAATCCACTTCAATTTATTCAAGAATGCAGTTTAGCAAATGAATTATAAATTCGTAAATTCAGGAAGAGAATCATAAATCTAAAATGGTTGAGTGGGTTGTTGCATAGTTCGAAGTGCCGATGCTGAGGTTCTACGCTCCACGAGAATAAATAATCTCTCCGAAAATCGGGGCGATACTGGCGATTATTATCTGCACTACTCGCCAAGAGAAATCCTTCGAATATTTGTCTTGTACGATAAGCCAGCAGTGAGTCTAACCATTAATTATGAGGGTTCTTAAAAAACACTTAGAATATATGAAACCTTAGGTTGGAAAATGTAATCGTTTGCTTCACCGGGAAATTTTCATTGAACAAGCAAGGTATTCAAATGTGGTTTAATAATACTGTGAAGGCCGTTAAAGAAGTTGAAAATCGCAAAGTTCCGCTTAATTTCGCCACTGGCAACTCCTATTTTTTCACGCTTCTGGATAAATCAGACTTTTTTTTATATATTTAAGTTTTTCAATGTAAAAATTTAGTAAAAAAAAAAGAAGCATCGAAGAGCAAAATTGCGGCTTTCTGGCGAAAATTTCTATATAAATCAATTTTTAGTGATCGTTTTTCTGTTGATTAGGCACTAAATAGTGCATTCTTATTTTTTCATCTATTTCCGAATTTTTTTATTTCTTTTGCATTGTTTAATCCATGAATAATTTTGCCAAAAAACATTTTTTTCCAGAATTTGAAAAATGAAAAAACATTCGAATTTCTAAAATTTATGCTTTATCTATGTAATAATTTACAGAGAGAATTTACCAAATTTCCGCTGAATGCAAATAATTTTGAGAAATGCCAAGTAGATTATTCATTGTTATTATTTGCTGAGTAACCACAATACTTCACCACAATTTTTTATCGAACTTATTAAAAAAACAAAAAAAAAGAGAAAGAATATTTCCAGTGAAAAAAATAATTCGCAAAGGAAATAAAGAAAAAAACTACAAACAAAATAACTTTTAGGTTTTTTTTGAGGATTTTATAGAACGGGTGTACAAGAAGAATATAAATGGTGCCGAGAAGAAACTATTAAGAAGGAAATCTTCGTTGTTAAGGGAACATTTTCACCATTCACCTCGTTTATCACTGATTGATAAACTCTTAATTATTGATTAATTTTTGTATGTTGGTGAGAAAAAATTATGCAAATTGAAGAAATAGCTTTGCAAACGTTGTCCCTACTTATTAATTGGCTGTCCTTTACAATTCAAAAATTCCTAAATGAAGTCGTTAAAGTTTGACTATAAGCTAAAAAGAGCAAAATGTGAGTGGGTAATTTAACAATTTAAAAGCATCTAAGGATTTACTGTTAAGATAAGATAATAAAAAAAGAGGTCTACGTTGTGTTGCTAATGGATTGCAACAAAAAAAAGGTTTCATGGGTTGTTGCCGATGCTGAGGTTCGATTCTTCACAGGAGTAAACCTGTACAAAAATTCGGGTGATGCTGGTGACTCACCTGTACTTCTATCGCCAAGGGACTCCCTGGCATATTTTGCCCAATGCGACAAATCAGTGGAACTAGTTTAACCAGTAATGGTGAAGACTCTTAAAAAAAAATGTTTCATGGAGCTATTCAATATTTAAAGAAGCTTTTCACGAAATGTGATAAATTTTAGAGGATTCCTATTTATTTATCAGATTATTAAGTATATGAAATGAAATAAAGAATTGCATAAAATTAAAAGATATTTTCAGAAAAGTGTCGATTGAAATGGACTGGAAATTATTATCATAGCGATAGAAGCTTACCAATTAGAATAAATGAAAGTTTCATGGATTCATTGGGTGATTGTTTAGCAATGAATAATGCTAATGATCATTATTTGTTTCGACTTCAATCGTTTGTTTTTAAAATATTTTTCTAAAATTTTTAAGATTTTTTTCCGATATTTTCTATATAAATTATTAACTATATAAATAAAAATTATTTTATTTATATGAAATTCATATTGTTTTCTCTTAGAGATTTCCAAAAATTAATTCTATTGACAATTAATGATATTAACGAAATTGATAACAAAGTTGACAATTGATAATTTTAGTAGCGTTTCACTTAAAACCGCCGTCTTCCACGGCAATTTTCAGTTTCCACGGTTTTCCTACTCTCTTAAAATTTATAAATATGCCATTTTTTGATTTCGATTAATTATAACCTGTTTATAACCTTATCTCTCACTTCCTTTCAAAAGAAATTTATTGGCAGTCAACGCTTGAAACAATTGTTCATTCAAAAGTTTACGGTTAATTACTGGTGCACGGTGTTTAAATAATCATAACCATGTTTAAAAATGGAATATCCACAGGAATAAATGCCAAGAGATAAAGATTCTATCCCTACTCTTTAAAAAAATCGTGGGTTGTCAATTAGGAATGAGAAATTCCCTGGTTGATATCATATCTATTTTATTTTTATAGTGAGCGAATTTTCATTTCCATTTTAAGATAATATTAATCATTTCATGTCATATGGCATTTGTTATCGGTGTGTTGTATTTTTTCCTGTGCACCAAAATATTCTGCAATATAAACAAAGTATTTTTTATTTATTTTTTATTTATTTCGTAAAAATTATTATTTATTAATTACCAACTGTTTTCTTGTGATATAAACTTCTCCTTCTGATAACTGATTGCTTATCATTTCTGGTTTAACTATCTACGTATCAGTAACGAGGTTAGCGAATGATTTGAAGAAGTTCTATATGTTAATCAGTGCTTTATGGAAGCAAAGGGATCACATTTGAGTTCATAAAATGAGTTGTTTTGCTCAGAAACATTTTTCTCATCCTTTTGGTTCGGAAAGAGTTTAGTTCATTTATTTTATAGCGATTTATTATCAAATAAGCCCATTTTTATTTTTCATAATGGTTCTTAGCAATGAATATTAAGATTGAATTTCAGTCGAATTAATATTTTCTGCATCATAAAATAGAACGTAAATTTTTTATTTGAGGTGAATTTAAGAGAGAAAAAATATAATTGCATTAATCTGGGTTTAATGAAGTGGCGTTCATTACTATTACTCTTACCCTTGTCGCCAATGAAACCAGTTTAACCAGTAATGGTGAGGGTTGTTGGAAGAAGAAGATTCTATCTGGCTGAAAATCAAAGAATGCACCATTGTGCACCAGTCAATGCTCAAGTATAACCATAATATTTCATTATTATGCGATCGAATTATGTGACTCCTTTGGGAAATAACGAAAATTCTATTTCATTATTTATTTTCATCTGCGAAATTAACCGATATATTCATAAAAATCAAGCGAATGTTTAATGGGGATCCATGTATTATCATAAACCATAAAAATGGTTTTTGATGTCCAAACAGTCTTCGCAATAGCGAGCAGTGGAGAAAGAAAAACCAGAAATGGTGCTTGCTAAAAGAAGAAAAAAACCATCCTTTAAATATTCTCTTAAATGAACTATTCTAAAACTTTTTTTCTTTCTTTTCGATTAAAAACTATTCTAAATTCAAAATATTAGAGAATAGAAGAGAACTGGCGGTTTTTATTTAATTAATTATTATTATATTTATTTACCTAGTAATTTAGAAATTTTCATTATAACAATCATTTAAAGCATCATGCATGCGATCATTCGATCAACATGAAAATATTGAATCTATTTGTCAACGATCATTACGCGGTGATGCTTTAATGACTACGCTTTTTCGCGGTATTTTTATAAAAATATTTTAATAAAAATTCAAAAAAACACCTTATGAATATAATTTATTTTCCATGAATTAGTGGTCCTTTTATAAATTATGAAAATTATCAATCGAAAATTATCAATCGATAAAATTATCAATCGAATTTTACAATTTTTCAGTTCAAAATTAGCAATAGCTTTTAAATCCACAACGCTAATATGGCATTTTCAATTTTCATTATTTGATTAACAATTATGTGGAAAAATTGATTATATGAAAAAACTTAACAATGTTTTCCCTAAATTTCACTTTTAACGCTTTTAAAGGGATTTTTCATTCCCTCAAAAGATATCCTTGTTTGATTCAACGTGAGCAAATACTTCCACAAATTTCCGCAACGTATATTAATAGTATTTTCAGTGATTCTTTGGGTATTCCAAATTAAATTTTAAAAGGATTTCGATAAAATCTTTTCAATTTTAATAAAATTATTGTCGATTTAAGCTAAAATCCAACGACTTGTTGCGGATGCGAAATATTGAACAATTTTATGCGAGTGAAATTTTTGATTTAGAGTTCAGAATGATAGTTTAACTGAGTTTAAAACTGAAATTAGAAGTGAAATCCAGATATCTGCTGGAATCACACTATTATCTCCTTCTCGAAAAAAATCTCATTCTAACAGCCAATGGAGTATACCAAACTAGGATTGGTGCAAAAACTAAATTTCAGCGGTGTTCAATGACTCCATAATTTTGCTTATTGATAAAACTATTATTACAGATTACGATGAAATGTGAATGATAGTTATGTTTTTATGAATTTTAGACCATCCAATTCCACAACACTGTCCATTTGAATCTCCATTCAATTTCACCTATTCCTTTATTGATGGTTCTTGTACGTCTCGAACATCTTCGGTAACATCTTGCGCTGATTCACATAGATTTCGTTTTCTATATCAGGCATGTCCAGAAATGATATATTCTCAAACGCATGGTTCGATTTTAAAACTATTATTCACCATCGAGAACAATCTTTTAAAATAATTTTTTTTTGAAAATTTTATAAAATATAGAATTTTATGCAGAAATTCCCATTCCTATAAGTACTCTTAGAATTAGCGAAAAAAAGTTGAAGTTGGATTAAAATCGAATATTTGAAATAATGTGAAATAAATATGGCTTCTGATCGTTTGAGTCTAGCGTTCTTGTTGCTTTCAAAGCACTAATATTGCTAAAAGTCCTACGGTGAAGATGAAAGAAAATCGTGAAAAAAGAATTTATAACATGCAAAATAATTTTTAAATTTGAATAATGCTAAGCTGATAAATTCGTTTTGTAAATTTTCATAAGTATTTCGATAAAACTTATTTCCTTGAATTGCATATTATTACGAATTGCAATAAGTGTTATAGCGGTTGAATTGGAATGCATTGGAACGTGGAGGATTTTCGGCACGGAATATTTCGCAGCTAGAATAACAAATTCATTAACCCAGAGTCCACCGTCAAATTTACGTTGCCTGGTTAGACCATTAGAAATTTTTATATCAATAAATTTTGTAAGAAATTATATGAACTCAGTATTAAATAACTATTATTTTAAAAATTATTAAAAATGCAAAGAATCCGATCTATCAAGTTAAGCAACGTTGGGCTTGGTTAGTACTAGGATCGAGGACGGCCTAAGTAATATGGACGATGAGAAATGCTCTCGAAGCAAGTTAGAAAATTCGCTGCTGTGTGATCTCTTAATTTTCATCCGATTCCTTTCATTCTTCCTTGATATTCTTCTCTCTCTATGTATTACCAATAGTCATGCTATTCCTTGTAGGCTGTGGCCGTAGCAAAAATATATAGAATATTGAGGGAATAAATTGCGCTAAGGGCCTATAATTGCGCAATTAAAATGATATAAGAGGGTTTATTTAAGAAATTGAGCGCTTATTCAGCAAAGAAGCAACAAAAGAAGATAGTGAAGGGGCTTATTTTGCGAGTATATTTAGTGGGATTGTAGGGGATTTTTAACGAAATATAAATTTCTGTGCAAAATGAAAAAGTTTTAAAAGTTTTTTATTTAAAAGTTTTAATTGAAAAAGTTTAAAGTGTAAGTGAGTATGAATTTTACATTCACATAAGTATATGTGCATACCCACATGCACATCGATAGATATAAAATGGTGCATAAATCACACAGCAAGGATCACAAGGTGGTATATCCCCGCTATCCAACCGGTTTTTACTCATTTGAAAGAATAAGAGAAATAATGAGTCGAACAATTTCACCTCTTGCACCATATATATATACCTATTATTACAGTGGCACCTGTCCCAAAATGCATTTACCGTTTAATATGCAAATGTGCTTTAGTATAAATGACAATAGAGTGGGTACCATCGTAGAATAGAATGATTTGCAGTTTGTTTTAATAATTCCTTAATTAATTATTATTAATAATTATTATTAATAATTATTAACTATTTGGAATTATTAATAATTCCAAATAGTAAGATGTGCTGGATTTCGTGGATGTTTTGGTTGAATTTTGGTTTCATGTATATTGAAAGACCACCATTGCTATCTCGATATTAATTTTGTTCTAAAAGCACGTCTTGTTAGACTCGCTCCGTCGTATGTCGAGTCGAATCGTTTCAACTGTAAATTTTGCCAAGAAGTAAATTAGCGGTAGAAATACAAGTGGACCACAAAATTAGCACCCCGAAATGAAAGCAATCCTCTAAGCATTTGTACGCCCTCTCTTTATTAATATTTTCTCGAGAGAGAGTGGTATAATACGTTGCTGAATTTATGCTCGAAGAAATTCAACTTTAGTAAATTTCTTTATCCTTTAGTAAAATTCAACTTTCTTTGCACTCTTTTCTAGTATAAAATAAATGAGCCAAGGGATTTTGGATTCTAAAGGCTTTTCATAAATAAATTTTTAAATTAAATTTAGTTTTATTTCTTAAATTATAATTAGCCCTAATTCTAAGCCTATTTTTTTGAATTTTCTAAACAGTTTCAGTATTCAATTTTTTTTTTAAAACTAATTTAATTGATGTTAAAAGATTTTTAAAAATTTGTGCAGAATAATTTTTTCAGATCCATGAGAAACAAAATTCGAATGGAAGAATAGGAATATCAGCGGATGCAAGCTGTGGTGAACTAACAGATATTTCTTCTGCCAGCCTTATTTTAAAATATAAACTTGGTAAGAATGCATTTCTTTATTTTATCTTCTATTTCAGATTTTTCTAATAAACCATTGCTGGCTTGGCTCGCTAAACTGGCGACTAGTAAGACGTTTTGAAGTCTTTCGACTCGATGCCATTCTCTAAGAATTTTCAAAATTATTAAGTTTCTTGAAAATATCGCTATTTATAATTTTATTTTTTTAAAATTAGCTTTAATTTTTTTTCAGTAAAAAACAAAAATCCATCCAATTGGCGTTTCGCATTTTATTCTTAAGAGAAATTTTTTGTAAAAATAAATTTTTTAGATTCGAAAATAATATCTTTATGCCATTTTCCGCCATTTTTATTGCGTAATCATTATTCTGTCATTCATCATACGTGGAAATCAATCGTCACTGATTTCGTCCATCATTTTACAAAAGGTTGATTAATTTATGAAAATTTAAGTAATTAATATTTTAATTTTCTATAAAAAGAAGAACAACGACGTTTCATGAAAATAATTTGATTATATCATTTTGGTTTGGTTTGAAAATATAAAATCTGATTTATATTATAGAAGAATGGATTGAAAAATATGCGGGAAGAAATAAATCTGTATCGAAATGCATCGAGAAAGAACATTTCGGCAATACTTATAAACTAATCATTTATGCAACTCATGGCTGTAATTCGGGATATCAGTGTGTTGAAGTTAGAATTGTTAACTAGCAAAAAAAAATTGCTTTAGATTAATTAATTTAATTAATACAAATTTGCTTTCATAAAATGAGGATTATCATATCAGTTGTATGATATTATGATATTTTATGTATTTCTCAGCTATTAATCAATATTTTATCACAATTCAAAAATAACGATTATCACGAATAACAATTCTTCAGTTATCTCGAATTTTATTTCAACAATGAAAAAAACTATAAGAATTATAAGTTAAGATGGAATTTAATTATTATATGTGGCTAATTTGTAGATTGTTAGAAAAAAGAAAAATGTAGTGCAGATTATTCGCGGAAAACTAACAAACAACGAATTCACTACCTGCAGCGATATGACTGATAATGCAAATATAGAAACTTTATTATTGGAAGATGCAGAGGTTGAAATTTTTGACTACAATTTAATTGGTACTTGAACTGAATTGCCTTTATTATTCGAAAATGACCGAAATTATTTGAAAGTAAACATAAACATTGGCAACATGTGGTACCCACGTTGATTGAAATTAGCATCGGCAAACATATCGACTCTGTTCTTGTCTCTATAAATCAATTAAACTAGAAATATTGTAAGAAGAAAGTGCCAATTTGGAATAAGTCAATTCCAGGACAATGATCATTCAGTGAATGCAATATTTTTTCTCATTTAGTTTTGTAATTTTTTTCTGATCAACAGAGATTTTTTTTTTTTGGAAATTTGCGATTGCAGAGGAAAATTTGCAAGCTTAATATGCCATGATAGAGGATTGGAAAAAAGTCGACGAAATAAATTGTACATGAAAGCAAAAAAAATTCGGTTATATTATTATAGAAGCAAAAATGCGATGTGCTTTCCAGGCAGAGAGATGTCCAATTCGTGGACGGTATTCAGCATTGAATTGTCCTTCGTCTATTATCCACTTTGGATGCCTCCTTAATCGTAGCGTGAAATATGAATTATATTGCAATTCGAACTATACACGTATGTTAGTTATCCTTACAAAACTATTAAATACGTGATTTACAAGTTTTATACTCTTTATTTAACAATATTACAACAATATATTTCGCGACGTAAAGTTGACTTTCGGGATGGATTTATTTCTGCTTGATTTCTGCTTGAAACGATCGAGTAATTTCAATGCTTTTTATTACATATTTATATAATTTTGTTTGACCATTCAATAATTTAGGAGAGAATATCGAAATTGAAAAATAATAAATGCTAAATTACGAGAATAACCAACCTCAAAACCATAAGTTAATGATAATAATTTTGATAATTTTAACTTTATTGATAATAATTTATTCATTTATTCATTATGAGAAATTTTACAAATATTAAATTCACATAAATTTTATTACAATTATGATTACAATCATTATAATTATTATAAATATTAAAAAATTAATGAAAATTAGTAGGAATATTATTATATTTTATTATCGGTGTTTTTTTTCAAATGAAATTATTAAAAAATATTCCAAATAACCTATTTAACACCATTTTTTCTCCTCTTATCATGTCTATTGTTCTGGTCGTTTTTGGAAATATTATTTCTTTGATAAGTCATTTTATTTTTTCTAAACCTATTAGATCGATTAATCCTCGACGGTATCAGCGATTTTTTCAACTCGGTTCATAATAATTTTAACAATTGAAGACAAATCGACGATTTGTCAAAGATTAGCTAATAAAATTTATGCGCACTGATTCATAATAATGGATTTTAGAAGATTTCATATGTCGCAGTCATTGGACCGAAAACAATACGCTTTATATCATTGTTGAAGAAATTGATTCACTTGAAACAGCTTGTCATGTATGCAATTATTTTTTAAGGAATAGTATAACATATTAAATAATTTTAATTAAATTATTATTAAAATATTTTTTATTATTAATAAAATATTTTTTAAATATTAAAAATATTTTTTTCTTTCTAAAATAATTTAAAATTGTAGGCATATTTCATTCGGTAAAATAGACAGACTTCAACGATCTAAATTTGTTCATCTGTTAAAATTTATTTATCAATTATCAAATTATCAAAAACTCAGTGGTTTAATACCAGTTTATGTCTTCCTCTTTATATATTTACCTGCAGCTATGAGCTTATTCTCATAGCTCGTCGAAGCATGGCACGCTAATCCATGGAATGAGCAACTACATGATGAGCTCGCTCATCTATCGTCATTAAAGAATTGAAGTCGTTAAAAGAGAATTAATTTCATAACCTATTTATTTTTCAGATTTATTCGTATTTGTCTGACGATATAATGAATGTTCGCTCCTATCGCCATACTGTTTGCCATTCTCAAACGATTCAACAATATACACCTGAATTTGAGTTAAATTTATCCAAATATGGTAATATTTATCATTTACCAAATAAATAATTATGGTCAATATAAAGCGAAATATATAAATAAATTGAAAATGTAATAAAAGATCAAGTCTATTGAACTGAAATATATTTTGGACAATGCATTTGGTTGAATTTTAGTTAAATCTCAAAATTTCCTCCTAATTTTATCTGTCGTTGTCATATCTTTTGCCACTTCCATACCCTATCGTTAGATATTTAAAAAAGAAAAAAAATTTTAGAATATTTTATTTCTAAAATATTCTAAAATATAAAGTATTCAAAAATATATTTTGCGATATTTTTTTATGAAATTTTTCTGATAATGATCAATTTTCGTTATCAGTAGTTTTTTTTTCAGAGGATTGTCAGCCAACAATATCTGCTTGGGAAACCAGTAATGGCATTCAAATAAAACCCTATTATTTTCATATATGGTTTTATGTTGTTCTTTTAATGTATTTAACTAACTCCATTTTTGATACGGCAACATTTTACGTCAATTGCTTCGTAAAACCTCAAAATGCGTTTTGAATTTGTTGATACTTATGCCTGAGTTTCATAATAAGTTAAATAATAATAACTTCCTTTAGTCCAAATGCAGTATATTCATTTTCTGCTTATATTTGCACTATTTTATTTTCGTTTTAAATATGAGGCTTGACAGTCTTTCCGATGAAAATATATGCCATCATTAGGCAAAAATGGACTACGTCATGCACATATTAAATATTCCGGTAAATAATGGAACCTATTTTTTTTGCCTTAGGTGATATTTATTGTGATTTATAGGAAAATGAAGTAGATCTTTTTATTTTATATTTTATACCCTTCGTGTTTTCAGTGTTACATATTTTAAATATCTTCGTTGTAGCGTTGTACTTCTACTTTCATTATGGGCCAATATTGTGGCTCATTTTCATGTGATCGGCGATTATATAAGTAATGATAAGTAATGCAAGTTGAATGATTTTCACTTCTTTGTTAATTAATTTTTGGAGATTATTTCTAGAAAATTTTCTTTTCTTCCTCTCTTAACGGGTTGTTCGTTGCTTCAAAAATAAAAAAATTTTTCAAAAAGCATTATCATTGTTTTTATTTCGATATTTTGATTTGTACTTAAGTATATTTATTAATTAAAAATTAGCAATAGCAATGACAATATTTTGAGTAAATTTCGGAAAAACTGATTGATCAAAACAATATTTTTAATTTTGCTTAAATAGAATGAAAATACAAAGACGATTGGAATTTTTTTTTTTTGACATGAACGGTCAAATAGAATAAATTTTTAGTGAAATTGAAGGTTTTTCAATTTAATATTAGTGAATTTAAGATGACTATAAATGATATATTTCCTTAAAATTTTGGTTCGAAATTAATTTTGACGAAATATTCCATAAAAATATTTCGTAAGACGTTTATATTTCTTTAAATATTTTTATAGGCTATTTGTATAAAATATTTTATTAACAAGCCATCGTAGCTGAAGCATAAGTTATTTGGAAACCAATTTTTTTAGCTGGTTGATTGCCATATGTAACTTGTATAGCTTATGCAACTAAAGACAAGCAATTTGATAAAAGCAAACTTATCATCAAAATAGCAACTGCCTGTTTTTTAAGATTTCAAGTAATTTTCGGATGAGAAATAGCTGAAGCAAACCAGGTTGATATGATAAAAAGGTGATATGACATGATAAAAGAGAGCATTTCGATTTTTTGCATGTTTCGTTAAAAAAATACTGTAAATAATTATTCTTTACGAAAAATTTAAAAAAACATTTTAGAGATGATAAAAATGATAATAATTTAAATTCAAGATTTTGATGTTATCATATTCCATTTCAAATCAAATTATTTATGGTATTTTTAAATTTAAACCAATAACAATAAAAATCAACTAACAAATTTGGTGCTTTTCATGCCCTGAGGGAAATTTCTTAAACATATCAATACTTCGTTTATTTTGATATATCAATGTTTTACTCCAATTAAATAATATTTTGACTTGTTTTTGGGGAAAAATTTGCGAGAATTTTATGATTCGCTCGATTTTTTGGTGTATCTATACATTTTACTTTTAAAGAATTACCAGAAATAAGTTTTGGTTAATTTTAAAATCATGAAAATATTAACATAAGTCTAAATTGCGTTATCAACAAGTATATATCGGAATCAAAAACTCGCTTCACATTCGCATTTTGATAATATCAAACGTTTTGAAATTTTTTATAAGTTTTCAAAAAAAGTATTGCTATCTTCTTCAATTACTACTCGATAAAACGTTATTCGATTCGAGACAATGATAGTATATTTAAAAAATCATCCCCCTCAAAGCTAATTCGTCTGCTTGGGATCAAAAAAATGCCCAACTATCATCATTTACCATTAGCACTACCAATGAGCCATTTATTTGCGATTGCAACAAATACGCTCCATCATTTTAATATACTATTTTTAATGATAATAATAATTAATCATTTCAAGTGAGCTCATCATTCTGTGTGTTAATCGTCTTTTAACTAGAAAATAATTTTTTACACAATCAAATATTGTATCAGAAAATTTTAATCCTTTAATTACATGATTTATCCTTCCAAAATCCAAATTTATACCAATTTCTAAAAATCGATATATATATATCTTTTATAAAGCTGCTATGATATTTATTAAATTTATTTATTCTCATCATCATGCATTGTAGTACTGTAGTTTCAATTTTATTATCGCTTATTTGTGCGGTGATAATAATGATAATGATTGTGGTGATGATGATATTTTCCCTGGTGATAATAATTTATTTTATCAAATTATGATTTCTTCTACTAAAAATTATCTATAAAAGTTTCTTAATTCTTTTTAAATTTAAAATTTCAAATTTTAGAATTTTAAAAATCATTTAAATTTATTATTGATTTGATAAAATATTTCAATTTCCGTATTTTTTTAAATATTAATTTTAATATTAATTTTATTGGCTTTTAACTTTTAGATTCATTTAATTTCAATTCGAATTTCATAGCTCTATAATGCTTGGATTAATGAATTCACCAAATGAATATCCATATGATTTTTATTCTGCGAACAAAAAAGATTCGAAGATAGAGTTTAGCAAGCAAAAAACCATGAAGGTAGCCTATTTAAAAGGTATCATTTGTTTGATAGCGAAATACAAATTGGTAATTTGAATGATTGAACTTTTCCTCTTCAAGCGATGTATCATCAGCAAAAACAACGGTGTAATGTGGTTACAATCTATACCTTATTCATTTAAAAAATTGGTGACAAAGATTGGTGAAAAATTGGTGAATCAATTTTAGCTCAAATTAAAATATTTGCATTAAAAACTGTATTAAAAACGATTTTCATTTGATTTGATTTATATCATTTTAATTTATCATTTTATCATTTCATATCATTTATCATTTTATATCATTTTAAGATGGTCGAAAATTACTCAATGGAAAACTATTAGACGAAAAAAAAGCTGAGGAATTGTGGAAAGATCTTATTATCCGCTCAAACGCTAAGAAAATCAGCCTATATACAAATGATTTTAGCGAAGAAGGTTGGTTAAAAAAATAGTAGTGCATGGTTTTATATTATATACTATAAGTGCAAAATCAGTAAAATGCTAAACTCCTAGTTGAGAGAAAGGATTAGATTCAAAGTTGAAATTGCTTAAGTTATGTGCCTATTCGCCTAACGATCTATTTATAAGCATCTGGTTAAGGAAAATATTTCCTGCGGGTATGCGGCTAAAAAATGGAACCCAAATAACGTTCGACATGGTCTTACATATGCACAATCTTCCAAAGTAGGATACTAATGGTAATAAGCTACCACAGTTAAAAGCTATGACTACATCCAAAATATTAATAAATGATGAGTTTCAGATCAACTTATAGAGGATTCCGTGGAACGTAATGAAGGCTCTAAAGGTGAACGTATAGATGAAGATGAAGAAACAGTGTATTTTAGTGAAGAGATCCAACTGAACTCTGAATTAGACGGACATAAATTAAATATGAAAAAAATTTGATTTTTACTTTAGCATAACTCCTTAATCTTTGCTTCTTCATTACTGTTATCGTCATTGCTATTATTATTATCATTATCAGTAACTGGAAATAAACGAATAATAAAAATTTCATTATCGGTTAAAACAATTAAAAGTAAAAAACAAAATACGTGAATACTTAAAAAAAAAAGATTTGTATTCCATTCAGGTGAATACAGTAAATAACTTTACTCACATTATTATCTTATCACATATCTTATTATCACATATCTTATCGGGAAACGACAAAAATAAAAAGGTGTTACTACGTAAAAGTCGTAAAGTCATCAAAATAGAAAATGGATTCGAACCAGTTGTTTACCTTATTAATAGATTAACTATCGATGAAGGTTGGTAAGGGAGCTTTGATTAAAGCAGAATTTCACTGGCATAAATAAGCGAATCACCAAAAAAGAGATTCAAATTTATAAATCAATGGTGCCTTAAAAAAAAAGCAAAAGATAAATTGCCGAATGAAGGAGTCGCTCGAATTGAGTCCAAAAATACTGGAATCAAGTCGACACCAAAATAGTCCTTTTGCTTTCTTCATTTCACGACATACCAACCTATAAAAAAAAAAGAACAATTTTTGTAGATTTTATAAAAAAATCTAAAATATTTTAATATATAAAATATTTTTTATTTACGTGTTATAATAAATTGAATACCTCAAAAATAGAAAATATAGATTGAAATATTTTAAAAATAGAAAAAAAATTTCTTATTTATTTGTTTTTTAATAACAATCCATGCAAAACGAACGATTTCTTATTGCAAATTTTATTATTAGTCTTAAGAAATCATTAAAAAATTTTTATTCAATCACGAAAAATTAATAATTAAATTCAGAAATAATTAAAATAAAATAGAATAAAACAAAAATTATTAATTATTTTTGAATGAACGAAATAGAAAGAAAAGATTTCTTTGATTTGATCTATCGCCTTCATACATACATACATATATATATTAACTGAATCTAATAATTTCATTTATTACAAAAAGATTAGTTAATTATCAAAATTAATTTTATGAAATTTTACAATTTTATTTTTATGTCTTCGGCCTTAATAAAATTCGATTAAGAATATTCGGAAAAACTTTAATATTTAAACTTTAATATTTATACGAAATTATATTCGTTTTTAAGTAATTAAAAGGTGAAAAATTTTTCTTCATATATATTATCTCATCTAAGAAAGAATTATTCACCTTTTTCTTTTCTTAATTTTATTTTCTTCATTTTTGGTTTAGCAGCAATTCAAGTAGGATGGATCGGTCGACATTTTAGTAGACAAGATTCGGTTGGCAATAGAAGAGAATTCCTTCATCCATCTTCCTGTCTCTTTCATTTCACTTTTGATGACAGCTTAATTCTAAGCTCGAGGGAGAGCAATATAACCAGTTATGCATGATATTAGTCGGTGGAACCAACCCACCACTCTATTAATCCAACTTCTCATATAATAATATTATATCTGTGTGGAAATTTTATATATATATATATATTTTTTCTAATATGATGTATATAATACATATTTTGTTACCAATGGTGAGATGGAATTGGTCTTCGAAATAAACGAGCAAAAAGATTAGTAAGTTAAATAAACCATTTCGTAATTGCAAATAATTGGATTAGAAAGTCGTTGTAATTTTCATTAAGACAATTGGTGCAAACCTGGTTTTTTTTTTCACTCACCATTACTGGTTAGACTCACTTCACTAGATAAATATGCCAGGGAATCTCTTGGAGATAGAAGTACAAATGATAGAAGTACATCAGATTTTAGTCCCAAGCATGAATGATCCGAATTGGCATCCACTGTGCTATTCTGCTCTCATTTTGTTATTCTTGCTCTCCTTTTTTTCCGTCATGCAATAGTGCAGTCCGACGAAAAGTGCTTAGGCATGTTTGAACCCAAGCCATAGTTCTCACTGGAGAACTGCTACTGAGCCACCGACGTGCAACCCTGCTAACAAAAAGTTTTAAGGGAAAAATTGCCAGGACCAATCCTGTCATTAAAAATAGAGCCTAGACGACCGCTGGAGAATCGCTCGTCTCTATCTCGATCTCTAAGTGATTCTCTGGAGAAAAATTCATTTAAATACCTCATCTTAGTAAGCAGCAGTGAAACCAGCCTAATCAAATAAGAAAAATCAGATTTTATCAATTCACCAATCACCAAATTTTTTAATTATTTTTACATTCGTTGCATTGAAAGCCATCTATTTCCTGCCATATTTAAAGCATTTTTCTAATTTATATTACTTCAGATCTATTTTATGACTAAAAAAATCTTTTCGTTTTTCCTTTATTTGTTCTTATTGAATCAATGCTACTGCGAAGATGAAAATACGCCGGAGAATACGCCCTCACGAACTCTACTGGGATGCTTGGTTTCACCAAAATGGACCGATTGGAACGAATGCTCCGACAATTGTGGTGGATGTGGACAAAGAAAGCGATTTCGGATTTGCGCAAGCGATGTCTTATGTCCAGAGTATGTTTTATTACAAAGCTTCGTGCCTCATCTTTCTTTTCTAAAAAGATTCACCATCTACGAAACCATGCAATGCAAAATCGCAAATCGCAAGACAATAGTAATATTTTAAATAGTTATTTTAAATAGTTATATTGATATTTTGGCTTATTTTTGTTCATGAATATCTTAATTTTAGCATTAAATAAAAAGAGAGAGCTTTAAAAAGGATAAAATTCAGGATTTCACAAATTTTATTTAAGGCCAAAGGAACAAGAAGAGGCATGCGAATTTACTCCTTGCAAGCATCCTAGAGCTATGTGTTGTGGAAAATTGTCTTTGACGGGAGACAACGGAAAATTTATCTGTCAATGAGTTCATTCACGAGTTTCAACAGGAAAATTCTTCGAAGCACATAATGGGATCGATTCATGTCACTAAATCAGTCGCTTTTTTTTTTTTAATCACAATCACAAATATTAAAAAAATTTATTAAATATTTTGTGCTTTTACTTATCAGTGAAATGATCAGTGATTAAAAAACGATGAAAAATTGTGTCTTCTTGTAAAAAAAATACATTTATCTGAAAAAGAAGGTAGAGAAATGGAGGTTATATTATCAGTTGGTTACATATCGAATCCTTACCAGCAACAAGCATGTAATAAAATTCACATAATAAATATCCACAAAATATTTTCTTAATCCTCACACAACTTTGGCGAAAAGGAGACCTCTATAGAAAAAGAATTGTCACCTAAAATGATCGCATACTTATTTCAGATATCTAAAAATCTAAAAAAAAGAAAATTATTATGAAAACTACTCTTTCAATCTCAAAAAATGTTCCTAGAATGGAGTTACCGTTGCAAGTTTGTTATTAGCGACCAGGATTCCACCGTCGAAAGATCCAAATCAGAGCTCTTCTGTCCTATTTCTTTGAGATATGCATCTGGATAGTAGCATTTGGATTATTTGGATTATGACATCAAAAAAGCTGCAAGAGAAAAGAATTTCGGCACAATCACTGGAAAATCAGTGACAGTTGGTACCAAAGTGTGCAGTTATCAATGGTGGCGCCATCAAATAAACTATAAATGTGTCCTATTTTGCTTCATGAGTTTATGACAAGAAACAATATTTATATTGCTCAAATTTCCATAGGATGAATTTTCGCACCATGGAAACACGATGAAATCATTAAAGGCATTTTCTTGTTCCATTAAATTGTATAGCGGTGTCAACATCTCCGCAGATAAACTATTTACTTTTTTCCATCGATTATAAGGTAGTGTTCATCTCAAGTACTTTATGCACTTTATGCCTTTGCCAGAAATAAACCTATCGCTGAAAAAATAGATGGTGATGCAGATATATTTCTATCCCCAAGTGATTACCTTACAGAAATACTAACATTCTAGTAACCTAGCAGCCACTAGAGATAGCTTAGCTAGAAATACCCCTTAACCACTTATGCTTTCAGAATAATTAATGGCTCAAAATTTTCCAGTCTTGAGCGGATGTATTTCACCTGCGCTGTTATTTTTTATTTTTTCCATTTTTATCCATTTTTTATCCACTTTTATCCATTTTATCCATTTTTTCTTGGAATATTTTTGGAATTTCTGTAAAAAACGAACTAAGTTTTTTTCTAAATAATTATTTTAAATTTAAGAAAAAATTGAAATCAAATAATATACATATATATATATATATATATAAAATTATACATATATAAAATTTAAAATAATATTGTAAAATAAATAATATTATAAAATAATTATGTCGTCTTTGAGAAAAATCTATCATGTCAAAAATCCATAGGTGATCGCCACCTATAATTCTATCACCAAGTGATTCTGTGGTGAAAGGATAGATATTCTTGGTACGGCGTTCATGCCTTCCAACTTGCATGATATTCCCAGCCCGTTAGCACATGCGATAAGTATACAATCTAAGCATAAAGCGATCTTAAGTCTGATAAATAAAATGTGCTATAATGAAACGGCAGAACGCTTATGGATGTTGCAAGTCGAGCGATTATTGTCCACACCCTTCCTAAATATGGGAGCAGAGGTACTGGTTATATCCCTGTGGTGCTTCGGGTAACTTGGGGGAAATGGCGTAGCGATCGTCATGTCTAACAAGCCCCATCCTGCTTTGATTGAGTGGAAACCATATGGTCAATGCATGTTTTAAAAGTTCTGCAATATCTCAGTCTTTGTCTATGCTCCAAGTTTATCAGCAAATGATAATGATAAAGATAAGTTTTATGTGGAACTGCTAACAAAGCCTCTATCCAAACATGGCATGGGTCATAATCGGTGGAGACTGGAATGAGCGCGTAGGTCATAATGCCGCTGCAATAACCTCAACAATGGGCAAATATGGCATCGGAGACCGGTGCGCCAATGGAGAATGCCTTCGGTAAAGTGTATAAACTTTTTGTTACTAATACTTGCTTCCGGCATCGTAGAAAACATCTAGTCACGTGGAACTCCCGGACAACCAACAATCAATCAGATTGATTATATCTTAATCAGTCGCCGTTGGAAGAGTTCCGTACTAGATAGTCGTTCCTATCGCAGGCTGAAACGGCAATCTTCATGGATCTGACCATGTTATGGTTCGAGCCAAGATCCGCATAAAATTGACAACTTGCAGAAAACAGCATCCCCAGAGTTCTTTCAACTATCTCAAACTAAAAGATTCGAGGGCAGTGAGCGCATTTCAAACCGAATTATTGAAGCATCTCAATGATACAAATATCAATGATTTTTCTGGAATGGCATATGAATACTGACCCAAACTAAAGGAATGTATCCGAAAATCAGCCACTTTCACGCTAGGGCATACTAGTAGGAAATGCGTTAGTTGGGTATCGGAAGCAACTGTCCAATTGTCTTAAAAACCTGCCAAAGCACGAATGTCAAGTGATCCTCCTGACTACCGGGTGCTTCGAAGATTTACAAAGAAAGGAGCAAGGTAGGATAGAAATCACTATTGGAGTGATATGGCCTTTAGAATGGAGATGGTGGCTCGATTAGGCGATATAATAGGAAACTGTTTCGCCTTCTTCATAAAGCAACTATAAGCAACTCGGAAAACGATCAGTAAAATGGTAAGGGACAACAATGCCGTGCCGGTTAAGAGCAGTAAGGACCGTCTCATAAGATGGGAAGAATTCTTCAAGCCAAGCTTGACCATCTATTGCCCACGATATAACTGATATGTTAACCGAACCATATCTTGCAAATGCGAGCTTCGAACAGAAGAAGAAATAATTTCCGTTATCCATAAGATTAAAAAGACTCAGGGAGAAGATGGTCTTCAGGCTGAATTCTTCAAATTTGTCCATCATCCTTCATAATGCACCTTCAACAAATATACTCCTTAGTATGGAAAAAAAAATATTACCAGTTGAATGGAGCAAAGTAATTCTACTCCCAATTCTCAAATTCGCCTTCAAATAATAGGACATACTGCGACAATTATCGAAGAATCACTCTACTAGACGTAGGGAAAATTTTTGCTTCCCTTTTACTCAACAAACTTATGGAAGTAAAAAAGCAAGATGCGCCCTAATGAAGCTGGATTCAGATCGAGGAGCAGTTGCTGACCAGATATTTACGTTAAGGAGGGTGTTGGAACATCATTTCAAATATTTGCAATCCACTGTCACGTGTTTCATCGACTTTGCGGCTGTCTGATTCATTTGATAGAGAAGAACTTTGGAGGGTGATGAAATGCGAAGGCATTCCAGAGAAGATCATTCGACTCATAAAGGCATTTTATGAGCGTACGTCGGCGCAGATCTGTGTATATGGGGAACTGACACTGATTCTTTCGAAATAAGAACAGGTGTCCGTCAGGGATGCATCCTTTCCCCCACAATATTCAATTATGCGATAGACTGGATAATGGACACTGCTTGTCAGCACTCAAGAGGTGTTGAATTAGTCCAGAGCATCGTATCACAGATCTTGAATACGCTGATGATGCAGTCCTTTTGGCTGACAGTTATAACGAAATGCAAGTAATACTAAATAACGTGTCAGAAACTGCAGCAAGAATCGAACTCAGGATCAATATAAATAAAACGAAAGTCTTTTCGTGTTATGTGCAAGAAACTGATAAAGTGCCTCTTTCAATTCATTGCCGGTTGAGGAAGCGCCTGATTTCAAATACCTTGGGTCCACTCTAATATCAAATCACCATAAAAACGAAAGTCCGCATCTGTATTGCCGTGATCAGTTCTATCTTACTATATGATTCTGAGACACGGCCAATGAGAGTGGAGAGTGGATATCAAGAATTTATTTGCCTTTGACCACTCTTGTCTAAGGAGCATATTACGGATCCTTCGAGCGGATAAGATATCACAAGATCGCGTTCATCTTTGTTCAAATACAACTTGCATAAATAATGTTATCACAGAACGCCGTCTTCGCTGGTTAGGGCACATTCTCCGTCGTCCACCCACAGGAATTGACGCAAAGGAATGGCTTCCATTACTGTCGACGATGGCATCAGATGGCGCCGCTTTGAAGCATTCTACCCTTGTAGCCGTTGGAGCTAGCCTAACCAGTAATGGTGAGAGCTATTAGAAGAAGAAGAAGGTGCATTTAGCGTTTAAAATCTTTTCTGACTGCATCAGTCCAGGTCTTGATTGGCGCACCTCGCTTTTGATACTATCCGTTAAAGGTTTTAGCAAATAATAAAACGTGTAAATTCCTGTGGTGGAAGACGAGAAATGTTCCCTGGCTAAGGAGAGATGTTCTTTGATGGTACTGTTAATGCTGGTTATTTGAGCGATTTGTACGTTCGGTGATTTTGTAAAACTTATCAAATTTTTTTTACATATTGGTCAAAAGTGGACAACTTCTTAATATCCTCCGCTCTCATTACCAATGTCTCGCAGCTATATAGATGCGGTTTTTATTTCGATGATTTTGTCAAAATTATGGAAAATTTTCCGCTGTTAAATTTTAAAAGATTCTCTAACTGTTTTTCTTAATTTTTGTATTCATTGTTTGGCAGGTCTGCATTTTCATTCGTTTGCATTTGCATTTGATGTGTGCTTTTCGGGGATTTTTTTGGTGTTTTACTTTTTTTTGGTGACGAATTTCGGTTAAAATTTTCCAATTATTTTTTCTTATAGGTTAATATTTATTATTAATTATTGTTTTTCTTAATTTTTTTTATTTTAATTATTTATTATTTTAATTATTATTAATTATTATTATTAATAATTAATTTTTGTCGTTGTTATTTATTATTATTAATTTTTATTGCTTTTGCTATTTACTATTTATTATTTTTTCTTTATCCCTTTTTATTTTATTTATTATTCATTTTTCATTATTATTTATTAATTATTATTTATAAATAATAATAATTTAATAATAGCAATAATTAATTATTTATAAGTATTTCCATTGTTTATTATTATTGCTATTTTTATTCTTTTTATTTTATTATTTTATTGTATTATTTTTTGTTGTTACTTTTATTATTTTTATTATTTCTATTATTTCTGTCGCCATTTTTTGAACATAAATTTATCTTCTCTATGAATTCATTTTGTAAATTTTTTAATTTTTTTTCCTTCTTTTGGTGAAATTTTTGAAGTAGATAAATTAAATGTAAGAAAAAAAATTGATTTAAAGTCGGTTTTTTTTGTCGAGTTTATAGTTTTTTCTCTTTGGAAATTGAATTTTAATTGTAATAATTCTACTTTCAGATAGAGAAAAATTAGAATGAGTGAATTTGTGGATTTATCTCTTGATGAAATAATTGCATTGCAAAAATCAAAAGCGAAACGTGGAGGAAGGAACTTTGGTGGAACGCGAGGAGTTAAGCGACGACTGAATCGTCGATTCCCAGATCGGGTTCGCTATAATCTGTTTTTTCGATGTGTTCATTCATTCATTAAAAGTATTATCAGAAACCAATTCGCTTGGAATATTTTTTATCTTCCGTATCTTTATCATTGAAGCAGCGACTATACATTTATAGAAAAAAAAATTTATTGTTAAAAGTATTTCTTTGGAGAGTTATTGTCAGTTATATATATTATGAGAACAATTCGCTGTGGAAAATTTCGTTTGAAAACTCGAATTCAATATAGTCGATGTGACAGTTTTGTACGAACTGTGGTTCATTTTGCCAGGTGTTAATGGCATTATTTTATTGTGGTATTTATTATGATTTATATCTATCGATGGTTTACAGCGAACACAGGGTAATAGGTTTCAACGCAATATTACGAAACGTGTTGGCGAGGTATGCATCGTACAGGTATCGAATCTTGGTCCATTAGTTACTACTGCCGATTTACAAGTAAGGATTTGTTTTTTGTAGGATCATTTCACTGAAAAATTGTATTTGATAAGAGGTGGTTATGTTTTATTCATTAGTGCATTAGTGATAGGCGATAAGGAGTTGTTTTTGTAGTTCTAAATGTTGTCGTATATTCTTTCGTATAAAAGCGAGCAGAATTCGATCAGTTTTATTATCTTTATTCGTTTTGTCGTTAAAAATAAATCTGGGTAATTGTTGAGCATCCGTTTATATTTTTTCCATAAATGATTGTCAGTTAAAAGGGCTGTTATTTTTATTGTTTTATTATTAAATTGTGGCAATATACTTGCCGTTAGAATAAAAGGAATTTGAAGGATAGTATAGATGATCAAAAAATTATGAACCCAAATCCTTTAATCATTATTTATTTCCTTTGTCATTTCTTTTCTTTTCTTCACCTTTCTTATTTATTTATCATTTAGGAACTATTCAGTGAGCATCCATATGTGGATGTCGCAATGCAGTATGGTGATGATGGCAAAACACTTGGTACAGCTGTAGTAATATTTTCGACATTTGAGCAAGGGATGCGGCTTAAACGACAGTTTGCTGGAGTAAAATTGGATGGTTAGTTTAAACAGTGGATATTTCCGGTTTTTTTCTTGTAGCATATATTTTTTGTAAATTTTTTCTTTTTGTTAAATCATTTAAAATAGCGTTTTAAGCAAATATCAGTGGCATCAATATCTTTGTGTAAAGTGGTAAATTTGTATAAATATTTTGTATAATTGTAGGTCGGGTTATGGATATATTCGTCAGTTCAAGTGATCAGAAAGCGCGTATTAATTCTGTCCAACGAGTAGGTTCCCATTTTTTTCTTGGATATTTTTGACAAATTAATAAATGTATGAATTTTATCTTTTGGATTTTGGTTTTCAGGGTCGAATAACAAAAAGAAGAATTGCATCGCAACGAGGCAAAAAAATTGGATCAAAAATGGGCAAATTTAATAGAAGTTTTCGTTTTTCTAAACGTCAAAATGAAAATAATACGCGTAAGCAGATGACAACCGAAGAACTCGATCGTGATCTCGATGCTTATATGCGCGGATCAAAGCATGCAAAAATTGTCGCTCCATAAAATTTTCGATTATTTTTGATCTCTGTCGCTGGTTTTATTAAAAAAATTTTTGACTCAAGTTTTTTTTTTCAGTATGTTCTTTTTTGTCTCTTATTGATTTAATTTTTAACGGTTTTTAAAAAATATTCTTTGAATGATAAAATGCTCTACATGCATTAGAAATTTGGCTTTCCAGTCAGCATCTTCCAAAAGAATAAATGCGAAGTATAATTGATATTTTCTTTTCTATTTGCTTAATGAAAATATATGAACAGTTCTGTTCTTTTTGCAATTAAATATTTATTGAGAAATTTGATCGCCATGTTGATTTTTATTCCACTATGCGAATTTACTATATTTCCTTTTTTTTCTTTTATCTCCTTTCGATTGTAATAGGCAAAAACTATTGAATATAATTTGTGGTAATCAACGTAATTTGAAGGTTGTAATCTTTACCTTGTTTAAATAAAAGTGAAATTATTATTTAAAAATTTAAACTAAACTGGATTTCAGTCGTTTGACGAATGTATGTTATGTCTACATAGATGCAATTAATTAAGATTAGGTGAAAGCCTTTTAAAGAGGTTTTTTAGGGGTGTTTTAGAAAATTTGGTGACCGATAAAATTTTAAGAAATATGTCTGGTGGAAAGAAAATTATAAAATATTTCGTGATTAATAATTGGCGTCGACTGTGATTGTTATTTCTATTAAACATTAAATTTTTTATATATTAAGTAAATATTAAATATTAAATAAATTTCTTTTTGCTTGTTTTTTTGTATTTAGTTAATTTTATAATTTGGTTATTTTAGATTGTAAATTTATATCATATTGTTGCGATTTATTGTTGCTTTTGTGATTTTTTAATCCCAGTCTGCTTTTTTGGAAATTCGACTGGCAGATAAGCAGTCAGGGCGAGTCTTTTTGTGTACATTTGCTTGCTTTTGTTTATACATGGAAACATGTCTTTTCAATTATTTTGCATTAGTTAGTTGGTTGATTGGAATTGGAATTGGTCGCCCTATCCGCGTAGCCAGCGGAGACAGCCGGATAGTGAAAGCTATTAGAAAGAGAAGAGGTTTACGGCAGATAATTTTCTCCACTAATATCAATATTCTCCACTCTCATTGGCTATGACTCAGAGCCATATAGCAAGATCGAACGAATCTCGGTTATACTGATGCGGACTTTCGTTTTTATGGTGATTTTTCAACGGCTGCATAAAGAATTTGACAACCAGAAGAACATATTTCTGGCTGCCGTGATCCGAGTTGTCATTTGATCTGTCCATTTGGTATTGGAGTGGATCAAAGGTATTTAAAATCGGCAATTTGCCCAACCGGCAATAAATTTATAAAAAGAGGTATTTTATCAGCTTCTTGACATAAGACGAAAAGGCTTTCGTTTTGTATATATTGTGTACCCTGAGTCCTATTGTTGAATTGGACTTTGTTGAACTGCAGTATCTGACACCTTATTTAGCATTACTTGCATTTCGTCATAACTATCAGCAAAAAGGATTAAATCATCAGCGTATTCGAAATCTGTGGTACAATGCTCTGGATTGACTGGACTGACACTCCTTGAGTCGTGATAAGCGCTTTCAATTATCCAGTCTATCGTATAGCTAAATATTATTAAGGAAAGGATACCCTTGACGGACACCAGTTCTTATTTCGAAGGAGTCTTTCAATTCCCCATATATACAGATTTTCGTATGCTCATAAAATAACTTCATGAGGAATGATCTCTGGAATACCGTCGCATTCCACCACCCTCCAATGTGCCGCTCAGTTGAATCAAAAGCACCTGTAAAGATGATAAAACGCGTGATAGTGGTTTGCAAATGTCGATGTTCCAGCATTCTTCTTAATATCTGGTCAGCAACTGCTCCTCGATCTGAATCCAGCTTCATTAGGGCGCATCTTGCTTTTTTACTTCCATAAGTTTGTTGAGTAAAAGGGAAGCAAAAATTTTCCCTACGTCTAGTAGAGTGATTCTTCGATAATTGTCGCAGTATGTCCTATTATTTGAAGGCGAATTTGAGAATTGGGAGTAGAATTACTTTGCTCCATTCAACTGGTAATATTTTTTTTTCCATACTAAGGAGTATATTTGTTGAAGGTGCATTATGAAGGATGATGGACAAATTTGAAGAATTCAGCCTGAAGACCATCTTCTCCCTGAGTCTTTTTAATCTTATGGATAACGGAAATTATTTCTTCTTCTGTTCGAAGCTCGCATTTGCAAGATATGGTTCGGTTAACATATCAGTTATATCGTGGGCAATAGATGGTCAAGCTTGGCTTGAAGAATTCTTTCCATCTTATGAGACGGTCCTTACTGCTCTTAACCGGCACGGCATTGTTGTCCCTTACCATTTTACTGATCGTTCTCCGAGTTGCTTATAGTTGCTTTATGAAGAAGGCGAAACAGTTTCCTATTATATCGCCTAATCGAGCCACCATCTCCATTCTAAAGGCCATATCACTCCAATAGTGATTTCTATCCTACCTTGCTCCTTTCTTTGTAAATCTTCGAAGCACCCGGTAGTCAGGAGGATCACTTGACATTCGTGTTTTGGCAGCTTTTTCAGACAATTGGACAGTTGCTTCCGATACCCAACTAACGCTCTTCCTACTAGTATGCCCCAGCGTGAAAGTGGCTGATTTTCGGATACATTCCTTTAGTTTGGACCAGTATTCATATGCCATTCCAGAAAAATCATTGATATTTGTATCATTGAGATGCTTCAATAATTCGGTTTGAAATGCGCTCATTGTCCCCGAATTTTTAGTTTGAGATAGTTGAAGGAACTTGGGGTATGCTGCGAGTCACTTTTATGCGGATCTTGGCTTGAACCATAACATGGTCAAATCCATGAAGATTGCCGTTTCAGCCTGCGATAGGAACGACTATCTAGTACGGAACTCTCCCATCGGCGACTGATTAAGATATAATCAATCTGGTTGAAGTGATGGTTGTCCTTGGTGTTCCACTTGACTATATGTTTTCTATGATGACGGAAGCAAGTATTGATAGTAAAAAGTTCATGCTCTTCGGCATAACGAAGAAGACGTTCCCCATTGGCACACCGGTCTCTAATGTCATAGTTGCCAATAGTTGAGGTCATCACAGCTGCATTATGACCTACGAGCATTCTAGTCTCCTTCGATTATAATCATGTCATGTTTCGGTAGAGATGTTAGCAGTTAAAGTTCCGCATAGAACTTGTCTTTATCACGGTCATCTGCAGACAGCGTTGGAGCATAGACAATGATAAGCGAGATATTGCGGAACTTACTCTTACTCTACTCTAAAACGTACTTACTCTAAAACTTAGGCCATACGGTCGTTTACCGGTTTCCACTCAATCAACCCTGAAGGAGCCTTGACAGACATGGCAATCGCTACGCCATTTCGTCCCTAGTTATTCGAAGCACCACAGTGATATAGCCAGTATCTCTGCTCTGAACCAAGATTAATAATTGCTCGAGACCCAAAGTGAGGAAGACGGACCTCCGACAAGCAAGCGATATCTACTCGATATTTTGACAGGGTGTTGGCAGTGATCGCTTTGCTTGCAACATCCATATGCGTTTTGACGTTCCACGCTGATACGGCTAATACCTCGCGGCGTGTGCAGAGGGCTATTCCCCTTGATAGGTTTCGAGCAATTATCCTGGCTTGAGAGTACATTTTATTTACCAACCTTGGGAATGCTTTAAGCCCGGATTGTATACTTATCGCATGTACCACCGGGCTCGAAGTATCATGCGCGTCGGGAGATGCGGATGCCGTATCTAATGTATCTGACCCTTTCACCAAAGAGTCACTTGGGGATAGAGTTACAGGTGAGTCCCCAGCAGCCACTCGGATTTTTGATATAATAGCAGGTTTATTCCTGCCAAAGACAAAAAAAAATTAAATTTGAAGAAAATAATAATAGTAATAGAAAACAATAATGTATAAAATATATGAAATATATAAACATATTATTTATACAAATTAATTGATTTAATTTAATTCATTTAATTTTAATTTCGATGTTTGGCAAAAAAAAAATTAAAAGTTCAAGATGACTTAGCTGAATTGTGATCAAAAATGAAAAATAAATTCATAAAAAAAAATGCACCAACGATATACGAATTTAAATCGATGGAAAAAGGAATTTCAAAGGTTTGATTATTGTCAAAGATCGATTAGCTTGGAAACGTCTTATCCTTGAAGCCAGCCGAGCCAACCTTACCAGTCAACGGAAAGAGCTGACAGGAATTTCCGAATGGTGTTATGGATTCATGCGGTCGCAGAACTCTATCCTAACAGGTGGTCTCAAAAAATTTCTCCGAATAGCCTATCGAGTTTATTTGACCGGACCAGTTAATCCTGTTACACGAAGCATTGAGAGAACACGCATAGTCTCAAAACCATCGATTCAAAAACATCTTTACCATTGAATGAAACCTCCAACATTTGCCAGGTTTATCAGTTATCAAAGTCATCCCCTTTAGGAATTGCACATCGGATAGTTTCCTGTTTTTCTTCTTTGCGTTCATTTGCTTTTCTCGTCCTTATTCCTTTCCAATTTTCAGTAATTGCGTGCATGCATCACTTGGCCACATAGATAAAGGTGTAGGCATGATACATCGACAAAATTTTTCCTAATCTCTAATAAAATTATCTAAGGAAAGCTGATCACCGGGAAGTCTCCTTTAGATATTTCATTAAATCGATTTTAGGCAATTTCACTAAATCTATAATGAGAGAATTTGAATTTCCCAATCCTTAAAAATCATTATATCAAAGTACCACATAGCTTCCGAACCGATTCAAAACGAATTTCGATTTTTTTCAAATTTTTATTTAATATTAATTTATTATTTTAATATTAAATATTTTAAACATTTATTTAATATATTATTATTTTATTTTCATTTAATATTATTTTTTTGAATGTTTTGGCCAAAAAATGAATGATAATAATTTAGATAAGATTTTTGATGAAAAAAATGAATTAATTGAATCTCTCTGATAAAAAAAAGACTGCGCTGGAAAATTGCAAAATTTTAATTGTTTAATACATAATATTAATTGATTATCATATTATTTATGACAGATTTCGAAAAGAAATAAAATATGCCATCAAACTTTAAAAAAAAAAAATAAATTTTATAAGAAAATAACTCAGCCATCTTAATTAAGAAATGAGTATATATATATATATATATATATATCGCATATATTTTAAAGGCTAATAAAAAAAAAAGGATCAATTTAATTCTCTATTTCCCAAAATGATATACTGTAAATAAATAATGGAAATAATGCATGTCACATTAATCGAATATTTTATATGGATCGTCATCATCGACCATGCTATTTTCGACCTTTTTTCCAAACTTTCTGAATTTTTAATCGCTTCAATGCAGCCTGCAATAAAAAAATGAAAGATAGTATTGCCTTTTTCTTCTAAACACTTTTAAAATTTTAAAAACTACCAAAGATCGGCTAAGGAGAAAGGTTAATATTAAAACTTATCTCTCTTAAAATACTTACATTTGTCTTCTTTAAACTTTTTAAAGGTATATAATTATATGGTTCATATTTGACTCCTTTCTTTTTAACATCTCCACCGGCTTTTTTATTGGCTCTCCGAGTTCGAAGCGATGATGTAGACAGAAAACGTTTATCATTTCCGGTATCTCTATGTATACCACGACCACCAGGTTTCCATGGATTAACTCTAACCACTTTCTGCAAAAGATGGGCACAAAAAAGTATTTTCAAATTATAGAATTATAAATTATCTCCACGAATACAGAATATGTATGCAAATAAATCATTTCTGCAAACAATAACCTTAGCTGCATCGCTCGAATTTTCGTTTTCATCATCACTGCCCGAACTATCGCTATCATCGCTATCGTCCATAATCCTTATTTTTTTATTCGTTTCATCAATTTCTTCCATTTCAAAAATTTCACTATTTTTACGTTTCCTGCTTCTTTTCGAAAATGAATCCAAATCCTCGATTATCAAACGACCATCTTTAGTCAACTTGAATTCGCTTCGTGCACTCTCATTCACCTTTACGCGTGTTCTGAAAAGTTTTCACGCAAAATAAAAAAATTTTTTTCATCAATTTTTATAAGATTTGAGCGCCATATTTTCAATGATCTTAATTCCAATGATAAAATGTACAATTCACTCAGCTAAATAATTTAAACAATTTATGAATCGCACGTTTTTATATCAGTTACCATAAAGATTTAAAATTGATCTGCAATGGAAAAATTGTAATTTTTTGAATCTTAATTCTGTTTAATTGAGTTTTTCAACTAATCTGTAAATATCGAATAAGTTTTCAATACGTTTATAAAAAAATATTGAAATATTGTATTTCGAACAATGATCGACCCCTTTTACTTTGTTACACTTTCCTTTTTCGAACAAACCTTATATAATTTTTTCTTTTTTTTCTTTTAAGCCAATAAATGAAGCAAGAAATTTGTTTAACTAAACTTTTGATTGACTAACCTGTTCTTTTTCAGAAGATTTTCAGTAGCTGTATTATTGATTACAGATTTCCTATCAAGCAAATCAATAAGATCATCATTATCGTTCACTTCCCTCAGCCTTATTGAACTTTTCATTGATGCAAGTGATTTAGTGTCAAATGTGGTGCCGACGCCATCCTGTAAACATAAATACTTGTACATTTATTGTTTGTATATATATATAATAATAATAATATATATATGTATACAATATACACATATATTTCACAATATTTATAAATATTTACAATTTAATAGAGTAGAACATGACTGCAAAATAGAAACTGAAGAAAAAAAATTACTTCGCTAGCACTATCATCAAGTAATTCATCCAAGATTGTATCTGCGCCAGCTGTATTAGCGCTTGAATAGACAGTTGAACAAGTTTCAATATCGTCAACATCAGGATCCATAGCGGTAGCATAAATTTGTCGTTCACGTCGGCGTCTAAAAATAACCAAAAATGCAAGTAGAAAACATAAAAGACAAGAGGCAACATTAAAATCATATATAATCATACATGAGAAGCAAAAAAAAATCAGCATCAAAAATAAACCGAATCTTTTTGATGGCTTTAAGTTGCTTCAACCAATCTGATTTTTCAGTACTTTTCTCCAACACTTCAATTCCAAATCGGTCCACCAGCACTTCTAGAAGAAGTCGATTTGCTTTTCGAACCCTATGTGTGATATCGGCTGTCAACTGCTTCTCAAAAATAGTTGTTAGCAAAATTTCCTGAAAATTTTTCATGAGACTGGTGCTGAATATAATTTTGAAATTTCAATGTGCGATCAAAATGAATACTTACTTTATACTGATACAGTGAATAATCGGGAAGTTTTTTACACAAAACACGAAATAGCCTAATAACTAGAATACGCACAGGCGGGCGACCATCACTTATCCAACTACATGCAAGCATTATCAGTTTATTTAAAATCGTTCCTTCCAATATTTTGATGTATCTCTGGGCGATCAAATTGAAAGCAACCATAACTGACCTAAAATGTTCATTCTAGAAGAATGAAAAAATAACATTTTCAAAGAATAAAGGAAGCCACTGACCTAGCAATATTCATAGGAACTGCTGAGCTCGCGCTAGTATTTTCGTCGTAAACTACCATATCGTAAAGAGTTTGAAGCAGAGGTGAGAAAACAGTAGTTGGACTTTCACTATAATTTAAATTTTAAATAGTTTGAAAAAATCAATAAGAAATGAATCAATCAAAAAAATTCGGTACATAAACTCATTTGAAAAGAAACCTTTGTTCCGTGCCCAGTAGTAACAAACGTTCGCACATTTCATAAAAACATCCGACAGCCATTTCACGAGTATGTAAATTATGAATTTTATCAAGACAGATAATCAGGCGATGTATTATTTGAGAAACGAATTGCTTCAGATGTACGAACGATGAAAGTGAATTTAATATAATTTTAAAAATCGCGATTAATGAAGAACGTGCGTTATATGCGATTGTGTCGATATCCTTAGATAATAATATTTATATCTAATATTAACACATTAATTAGATAATAAATATTAACTAAATTAACTAAATAACAAAAAATATGCTGCAAGAATTTCTGGAAATATCTTTTCAAAAAAAAATAATCAAGAATAAATTTATATCAAAGGCGAAATTCGAGTTACCTGCATCAAAATATTTGAAAGCTCATCTTCATATGAAGAAAAAAATGAAGCAAATTCACTATTCGTATATCGCTTATAGATATGTTCCAAAATGCGAAATGCTTTTTTTTGAAGTGCTGCTTGATCAGTTGTAAACCATTTTCGTATAACAGAGAAAATGATTTCAAAATCACAACTGGTAGCGCATTCAGTAAATATTTTCAGAAGATCTAATATATATAGCTGAAATACAAGCTGAAATAATGAAAGGATTGGACCATCACCGCTAGAATAATTGCAGAATAAGAAATATCTACTATTAAAAAACTGAAAAGATAAATGAAATAAACAGTTCATCCTTAAATACCTTGTTCGTCATTGTTGCATCATTATTCTCAACTTTTTCAATAGCCGAAATAATATATCGATGAATGAGATCGTCTGGAGTTAACGGAATATATAAACTAACGGTTTCTAGAATAGAAAGATGCACAGCATTACGATTATTCTCTACACAACTACCATATGCACTAGCATTTCCTTCCGAAGTATAGATATTAAATAAAATAGGAAGATAATTTTTGGCATAACTTTTCATTAATTCCTGAAAAAAATTCGCTCATGGTCTGACTCATCGGTTCAATTAAAATTCAAATTCAATATGAAGAAAATTATTACTATTCGCTCAAATGGAGCGTCATCTTTACGCGCGAAACGCAAAGCACTTCTAACAGATGAGAGAACAATAAGACGAAGATCTGGTCTTTCCATCAGCGCAGCACCCAAGACCCGAGCTAATTCCGGGAACGATTTCTCGAAATCAGTTGAAGAAATTAAGAAGGTTGGAAGTAATTCCCACAACTGCTGCTGAAAAAAAAAATTTCATAAGATAAAATTTATGCAATCAGTAAGGAATGAAAAAAACAATTTTTTTCAAATGCATATCGAAAAATGAAAAATCATAAAAAAAATAAGTTACAAATAATAAAAATAAGTTCATTAGCATACCTGAACTGTTGCGAGAATTTTCGCGGTGCCCTCATCAACTGATTCTATTTTCTGATATAATTTTATAGACAATGGTAAAAATAAATGATTGAAAATTGATAATGGTGCCCTATAAATATTAATACGTAATACGGGTAACAGCCACGATCTTTTAAAATTAATCAGAGTGACTGGTACATTAGGGTCGATATTCAGTGGTATTGCTCGCAGAACAGAATTTAGGCCAATATGTCTAACCACGGCACCAACAGCCTGCAAAAAAATCCCAAATTGCTGATTAAAATTAAATTTATAAACGAAACACTAACTTTTTAATTTCCTTCAAATAATACCAAAAAAAATTAAAATAATTTTATAGAAATTACCATATCAATGTCACTACCACAAAAGCAATTTTCACTCTCTCGCAAATCTGCTAGAGATTTCAAAGCTGCATCCAGTGACTGCTCAGAAATTATTTCATTACAAATCTCAAAAACTTTCGTTTCGGTTTTTAAAATATGACGCCATACACTCATGTTTTGTGCATTTAATGTTTTATCCAACAAATCTAAACAAAGATTGGCAACAGAACCATGAGATCGGACACACTGCTCCATCAAACGTACGATAAGATTGCAAGCTATCTATAACATGCTGGATATTATTATAACATCGAACAAGGTGCATTTAAATGATCCATAAAAAAATAAAATTTTTCAAAATCTCAAGGCTTTAAGGCACAGATGGAAAATTTCGAAAAACTGAACATAATATTAACCTGAGCAAGTGAATCATTGCCATAAGAAAAAATCCGAACGAACATTTCCAATGTTTTAGGCATTAGATCGATGCATTTTTCGAGACTTTTCACAGCCAAACATGCATGCGATTCACACAGAGCCTGAAAATAAAGTTATCGATTTATCAGAAAAAAATTCTTTTTCATTTGGGAACAGACAATAAAAAACAGTATAATAAGTAAATAATAAATAATATAATTTTACTTACTTGCATCCAATAGGCAATTACATTGATATCTGATGGCCTTGGGACAAATTCTCGTATTGCCAAGATAAGATTAACATTGGCATTTATCGGAAATACAGTATCAGTAGGTTGACGTTGAACGACGTGATATAAACACTGGAAAGCCGAACATCGCACAGCGGGTTCTTCAGAAGTCAATAAAGTCAACGTACTTCCGACCAAATTTTGGAACATTACTGGAGGCATACGATGCATAAAACCTTCGATTAAACAGAGAATACGAATCGGTAAAATAGATGGGGCGCCTCTTCCTAAAAAAAAAAAACAAATAGAAAAATTATACATAAATAATTCAAAATAATTCATTCAACACATTGCTGAATACTACACCTGAGCAATTCTGAAGTTGCTCAAAGGCGTATCCGCCGACACAGCCAGCAGCAGGATGAATTCCATCATTTATTGCAGCTATAGGATCGTTTAATATAGAACGAATCACTCTTCTAGTCATTGTCCTCACCCATGGCTTGTCATGAGTTGAGAATGTGGCTATACTCGCCAAAAGCATCCTAAAACACGCGAATAATGCATTATATTAAGCAATAGTTGAAACCAGGAAACGCCACTAAAAACTTGTTATAAACATAAATTATAAATAACGTCTGTGAAAAAAATACTTTGGTAACTTTAACAAAGTTAAAAAATTATTACTGTGAATTATCATTGTGCCAAACTGATATTGGCTGAGAACGGAAGATTGCACCAAAAACATTTAATAAATTCTTTAAGACACAAGAATCATTTGATGACTTTTGTTCCAAAATTTTCGAGTAAATAATCTAAACATGAAAATATAAGAAAATTTGACTTTTTGTCCAATTTTTGAATAAGCCAAATGAAATGTAAAATAGAAAAATATAAATTTTTTCAGATTTCATACCTCTATAGCAGTAGAAAAGCATCGCCTAACAACTTCTTTATTGACTTTTTTCACTATTAATGATATAAGATAGGCGACTGCTGCAATACGTGAAGGCTCTTCCTTAGATGTCGACTTTAATGTTGATAATAAAGCAGCGAAATATTCAACATCTGTTTCCGATCCATTTTTTTCCTTTATTAATTCTGATACAGCTGCAAGTACTGCTAATACATCGTTTTGCAAAGTTGAACCAGATCTAAATAGTTTTTTGAGGGAAAAATACAAAAAATTATTTAACTAATTCAAGTGAAATAAAGCAACAATTGGTACCTCCAAATACGATGAATCCGATCAAATGTGGGATTAGAGCAACCAGTAAAAGCCGAAAGGCGAGAATATGCATCAGAATCACAACTTTTCATATCTTGACCCACATTATTATTCTTATTGCAATCGTCTCCTATTCGCATTGAATCCTTCACGATGAAATTAGATAATGTATTTTAAGTCTAAAATGAAAAATTTCATTGATTAAAACTTCAATTTAAACACTTACGACAGGTAGCATCTGCAGTATATATTCATTTTTTGCATTATCAGATACTGTTTCATCACCTATCGCACAAGGACTGATAGCCAGCCTTGCATTGTGTGCGGCCTTTCGGTGTCGAGAAGAAGTTGGATTACTCGAACTGCTGAAATATATATATATATATATATATATAAATCATTTGCTACAACATAATAGCAACTGCGAAGTATAAATGGTTTCAAGAAAACGATGAAGTCTGAGAATGCTACATCTCATTAAAATGAATAGCTACAATATTTTTGCTGCGATTATTATATCAAAGATGCAACTTTCACCTCCAGGCCCGGTGGGATATAATATCAATTTATTTATTATTTAACAAAATTATCAATAAAAAAATCTGAAACTTTCAATCTGAATCTGAATCTGAATCAAAAAATCTGAAAAATTGAATTGCAGCACCATCCACAAATGATTATCCCGCATTTTCCAATAACCAGCGGAACAATCAGAGATATGATGACTCTAACATGCAAAAAATAACGAAAATAAACATCTAAGTCATCTCATTATCCTTTTATTGATATCTCAATCTGCGGCTGTGGTAGCGCTTTTATTGATAAACATTTTCTTTCTCTTCTAACAGCTCTCACCATTACTGATTAAGCTGGCTCTGCTGGCTACAAGGGTAAAATGTCTCCAAGCTGCTCGGACCGACGCCACTGCTAGTAGTAATAGAAGCTATTCCTTTTTCCATCGTCTAAGTCCATATATCGCAGTCCCTCTATACGCCCAAAATCTTTACTGATCAATCCAGGTTTTAACTGGCTCTCCTCGTTTTTGAATGCGTCAACTCTTGTGGTGGATGGAGAATGTATCCTAACCAGCGAAGGCGACTCTGTGATAACATTATTAATATAAGTGGTGGTTGAACCTAGATACAATCATGTGTGATTTTATCCAATCGACGGGTCAGTAGAATGCACCTTAGACATGAGTGGTCAAAAGCTAATAGCTTCTTAATATCTTCCATTCTCATTGGCCATGTTTCGTAGCCATATAGCAAGATCGAACGAAATGCAGCTATATGGACTCGGATTTTCATCTTTATGGTAATTTCACGACGTTTCTCATCAGTCTGAAAAACAAATTTCTAGCTGTCGTTATCCGGATTACAATTTCATCCCTTATCTGGCCATTTGAGATTAGAATGGATCCAAGATATTTAAAGTCGGGCAATGAATTGATAAAAATTGATAGATTTTATATCAGCATCTTGTACATAAGACGGAAATACTTTCGTTTTATTCATATTAATTTTGAGTCCAATTTTGAGTTCGCCGCAGTTGTTGGCACATTGTTTGACATTATTTACATTTCCTCAAAACTGCCAGTAAAAATGATTATATCATCAGCGTATTCAAGGTTTAATGCTACACTCTGCACTGATTCGCATACCTCTCGAGTGCTGACAAGCGATGCCGATTATCTATCGCACAATTAAATATTGTTGGGGAAAAAAACCAGCCTTAACGGACACCAGTTTTCATTTCAAAGGTCTCTTCCATTGACAGTTGCAAACAGTTGTGATGCAGTTGTAAGGCTCAACGGGCGAATCAGTTATATTCGGGATAACAGATGGTGCGTCATGGTTAAGTTTGCAAATTTGGCCTCAAAAAATTTTTTCCATCATCTGAGGCGATCCTTAACAGCTTTAATAGCGCCCCATTAATAACCCGTATCATTTCACTGATCCCTTCTCGAGTTATAGTCGAGTTGTTTTGTGGATGCTAAACAGTTTTCTATTTTATATCTTAACAGTTTTCACCCATCCGAGCCGCTGCCTCCATTCTCAAAGCCATATCGCCAATTCTATCCCGTCGTGCTGCTGTCGTTGTAATCCTCCGAAGCACCCGACAATCAGGTTCTCCTGAAATTCGGCGTTAGCGCTGTTTCTTACGACTTGTCAATTTTATACGAATCTTGGTTCGAACTGATCTGATAACATCTGATCTGATTTGATCCATGGCGATTTAAGTTTCAACGCCATGATAAACACAACTATTAAGTACAGAACTCTTCCAGCGGTGTGACTGACCAATATATAGTTATTGATAAACATAAAGACAAATGATTACCAAACAATAACGAAAAAAAACGTTTATTAATCAACATTTAATTTCAATATACAACATATTTTCACCAACCTTTCACCTTTTCTAAGACGTTTACGATATTTATTAGCAGTCAGTCGTACTCCAAACTTCTTTGCCATCCTTACGATTTTAAAACGTTCCTGAATAGACGCGAATAATAACGTAAAAAAAATTTAATTAATTTTTTTTCCAAAAAGCAAATCACTCATCCATATTTCCTCTGAAATAAATCAGTCAATGTTATTGGATGATAACTTTGGATATTTCGATTTTTTAAATAAAAAATTCGTTCAAATAAAAATTCATTTCTTTATTTTAAAAAATTCTTTATTCCAGCAATAAAAAAATAATAGTAATAAAAGAAAATAAAAGAATCATTAAAAATATTTTAGATAATATTCAAACCAAAAAAAATACAATCAATAACATAAACAATAAGGTTTAAAAAATACAAAGATAATGATAATTTTGCAAAAAGTAATCGGGAAAAAAAAGACAGACCAGTCGAATATGGGATTCGACAAGTTTCGAATGTAGAGATTTAAGTCAGTTTTAGACATCGAATCGGGGAATGCACTATTATAGTCAATCGAGAAAGAAGAAAATGAAAGAAAAAACTAAAAAATAAAGACTAATTTAACAAATTCTATAATCTGATATATGTGATATCTGATATCTGATATGTGTTAATAAAATTATTATAAATATATATAAATTATTATAAATATATACAACAAAAAAATGTTATAAAAATGAAAACAAATTATTTGAAACTCGATAAATTTCGGAACGGCGATGGCGATGTTTATATTCGGCAGTATAAATTTGTCTTTCAAAAATCCTAGCAGCTCGAGTGATCGATCGGTGCTTCAATCGTTAAATAACACCCTGCCTACTGGAAAAACTATGGTCCAACAAGTAAAAGAAGCAAGTCAACCAGAAATTAGATTTAAAAAAAAATGAATCAAACTACCAAAAATACTGTTTTTCTAACAACCAGCAGAGACAATTTTTAAAAATAAATTATGGTGAATAATTTTTTCAATGAATTGCAAATTTAAATTAAATTTTAAAATTGGCAATTGCAAAATAATAAGATTATCGAAAAAGATTAACTAAAATTTTAAATTTAAAACCGAGAAAAACCGAAAAAAGCGAAAAAATAATTTCACATTAACAGAATTGTTTGATGGCTTATGGCCTATGCTTTGCTTGATAATTTTTTAAATGAGTAATATTTATCGCTTAGGCCCTACTAAATAATTTTTCAAACCAATCACAAAACCTATCGCTTAGGCCCTACTAAACAATTTTTCAAACCAATCACAGAGCCTATCGCTTAGGCCCTACTAAACAATTTTTCAAACCAATCACAAAACCTATCGCTTAGGCCCTACTAAACAATTTATCGCTTAGGCCTAACTTGATAATTGTTTGGTAAATTTTGAAATATACGAAAAAAAACATTTAAATCATTTATTAAATTAAATTAAATCGGTGATCAAATACTAAAAAAATCAGCTTTCTTCTCAAAAGATTTTAATAAAAAAATAAATAAAAAAGTGATAAATCCCAAATGGCCTAAAATACAAACCACACGAGAAGCATAAATTCAGGCCTATAAATTTGAAAATTTACTGCCTGCAAATTTCGTCCATTTTCGACTTTGAGTAAAATTGAAGATTAGAAATTTTTAAATCTCGTACTTATATTGCCAACTCTCGTAAAATTACGTTGTGATTTAATATATATTTGTATGGTTTGGTGCTTGGTGAATTAGGTCGCGGGTTTTAGATCTTTTTGCGTCAACTCGACCCGAATGTCCAATTCATTTAACATTTCGTTGTAAATGTATTTGAGTTATTTTCTTCACGGAAATCTTATCAATTTTCTTTAAATATTTTTGTTTCAAAAATTATTTTTCTAAAATTATTTAAAATTATTTTTTAATATTTATTGGTGTTTAAATTATTTTTTTTTAACTGTTGCTTTTTTATATTTTATTTATATTTATATTAATATTTGTATTAATATTATTAATGACATTAATATTTATATTTTTATTCAAAAGTAAGTATTTTTGCACCTTTTTTATTTAGGTCAGTGCTCATCAAATTTTTTTTCATAGGCCCTCTAAGTAAAATTCCATGGATCCCTAAGTTTTTGCGATATTTTCAAAATTTTAAAGTTTTTAAAAATTTTTTATTTATTTTTCGTGAATTTTTTGAAATGAATTAGTATTGAATTAATAAATTGACATTTAAGGGGATTAAAGGGGAGGGAATTACCATTCAAATAAAATATTCGAATTATGGTTCCAGTATGAGTCGCAGTGAACTCCAAGCGATCCATGGAGGCTAATGAGTAATGGGAATGAGGAGGCTAGGAGGCTAATGAATAATTTAAATAACAACTAAATTCCACTAGAAATGCCATTTTCTTATTTCTTTTTTTATTTTTTTATATTTGTAATATGTAATAATTTGCTATGTAAATGCATATACATGTGCATGCCTCAGGGAATTCGCTTATGTTGGGAGAAACCTGTAATGTTTTATAAAACTTTCTCCAGTATTTGCATATTTTCATCCCTTTTTCTCGCTTATTTTAGAATAATATGAAATTTTATTTTGCTTAAATTTGCATTAAAAAATAAACAGTGAAATTTTTATTTTTGTTTTTTTTTCTTTTCGCTTATTAAGCTTCTTTATCATTTATCATTTCTTTATATCACATTACTTTATCATTAGCGTGTATCATTTCTTTATGAACTTCGTACAACTGTTTCCTAAATTTTAAGCATATTAAAGAAAAAATTTCAGGAAAGTTTCTTATAAGAAACTTAAAATCTTCAACAGGAAAAGAATTTTGGGAAAAAATTTCCCAATTTTGTATGATGAATTTCGAACTTAGCAATACACGACGTAAGAATTTGTTTTCTAATTTTTTAAAAATTTTTAATATTTTTTTAATATTGGGTTTTTAAATATATATTAAGGGATTTCCAAGTTATATATTTCTTTCAGATATTCTTTTTTAGTAAAAGTTCTCTTACAAGGATTGGTTTGATTTGGCTTGATACTTTTTTTTCTAACAGCGTGTATCATTTCTGGTTTGGCATCTTTCACTCGCTACTGAAATACATCCATTTCACTAGAAAGTCAGTGGGTAATAGAAATAATTAAATAGAAATAATTTCCTAATAATTACCAGGTTATTATCAGCAAACATTCGTGTTACTTCGACTTCATTGATATTACTATTATTTTTCAATTTCTTTTATTCAAAATTTGAAATCTAATCTTCAGAAATAATTGCCATAAAAAATGATTATACCTAATACAAATCCATATGTTTGCAGAAATTGGAATCGGTCTAACTTTATTTGGCATTACTTTTTTTTCACTTGGTATAATTCTTTTTTTGGATGGAGCTCTTCTTGCTATTGGAAACGTTAATAATTTTTAATATTTCGTTTCTTTTTTTTATTATTATAAAAATAGGAAATATTTTGAAATTTATAAAAGATCGCATTTGATATTTTATAAAAATATTTTTCAAATGCATTTCCTTTCCAGTATTTTCGCAGCTTTTTTCCTTTGAAATAGTTTCAATAATAGTAATACTATGCATGGATTACCTTTTTTCTGCTCAATTTTTTTTGGCTGATAAGATAATAATTTTCAGCTCTTATTTATTTGTGGATTGGTTCTTGTCATAGGAATTCAGCGGACAATTGCTTTCTTTTTGCAGTGGCATAAAGCAAAAGCATCTTCTTTATTTTTTGGTGGTATTTTTATAGTTTTAATTGGGTGGCCCCTTATTGGAATTATCGCAGAAGTTTGGGGTTTTGTTCTCCTTTTCGGGTTGGTTTAAGATTTTTATTTTTCTTCTCATTTTTTCATTTAAATTGATTTTTATATTATCATTTTTTTTGATTTTTGAAGTAATTATACCAACAGTTCTTCTAAGTTAATCTTTTTTTTTTCATTTTTATAATTCGCAAAAACTAATTTTCAAAATGAATTTAATATTGTAGAGGAAATATTTGTAGTGACCAAAGGAATTAATTTTTTTTAAAAAATTAAAAAGGTTGCTTATTTTATTATTTTAGAGGATTCTTACCTGTTGCGTTGAATTTTTTGAGGCAAATTCCAATTATTGGTTCTTTTTTGAATATGCCAGGTATTCGGCAGGTACTATTTTCTTTCTGTTTTTTTAAGAGCTGGTAACGGATAATTTTTTAGGATATTTAAGGTTTATTGCAGCTTATTTACTTTATTCGATAAGTAGCTTATAGGAAAATTTAATTTTCGAATAATTTTTATTCATAAATTCTTTTATTTTATTTTTGTATAGTATAGTATTTTTATTTTTGTCATTGGTTAATAGTTTTTTTATCTAATTCTTCAGAAACCACTAAAATTCAAAAATAATTTCGCTAAATTTGGATAGATTTTTGTGGATGATTTTTTTAGATTTTGGATCGTTTCGCTCCAGAAAGTCGATATCCAGTGTGAAAATAAAATATGTAGTAAATCGCTAATAAATATTTTTCTTTAATTTAAAATGATGGTGTCAATTGATAGAAAAAAAGTGTGCATGAGGAAAAATTATAATTTTCATTTATATTCATTTTTAATGCTTTATTTTTGTTCAGAAGCATTTAATAATTTATGAAATGCTTTTGAGTTCTGTTTTCTCAGTAGTATAGAAATTACTCATATAACCAAAATAAATATTATTTTGGTTAAGGAATTTTGTTATTTGTATTTGAAATAGTTATAAAAACAAGGAAAAGGAGTTATCTCTTGATTTTGTTGTGACATATGAATTTCAGTTGGGACTTCAGTTGAAGCAGTTGGAACCGACTGTCAGATTAGTTTTTCCAGTGTTTTTTTATGAAATAATTTTTTTATGTTATATTATGATGTTATATGATTAATCACCATATCATTGTTTTGATAAAGAATATAAGATTTTGGTAAAGGAAATAAAAAAAATATAAAGATAGGCCCTATGGTTTCGATAATAGAAGAGGAAACATAATTGAATTTATATAATATAATTGGCGAGTTTTTACTGATTTTTGTCGAAGATTCTCTCCATATTAGTTATATAGTAGTTTCAGTTTTAGAATTATTGTCAACAGCGTTAGAGTTTAGCTGTTCATGAATAGCAGCAGTTTTACTATCCTCAATATATGCACGAAATTCAACCATATAGTCTTTCAATATGAATCGAACCATCCGATAATCTTCTAATTTGCTATTTCTAACATTCCTTACTAATCATCAATCAAATTTAATAATCAAATAATCAAATTCAGAAATTTTCTTTTGAAAATTTTTCTTATTACGAATTTTTACGAGATCTTAAAATTTTAATTTTAATTGTAAGAAAATCCTTATATATTCAAAAAAAAAAAAAAAAATATGAAGAAGAAGGAGAAATATTGAAAAAGGATAGATTTCATTTTATAAATAATGTATAATCGAGTAATTTGAGTAATAAATTTATTTATTCATTTACAAGTATGAAATGCACTATATGTTTGCATAGTATTAAATATATATATATATATATATAAGGGTCCATTGGAGTTTGAAAGTGAACCTTTCCTTTCAAAAATCCAGCGATTCAGTTGTGCTTCTATCCGCGAAATGGTTCCATAAGTAAAATTTATTTAGTCCGACAATCGAGCGGTTTCAAGGTTATCAGAAACGATCGGCGCTCATAGAAAATAAATAGAAAACAAAAATTATAAAAATTTATATGAATTATTTATGAAAATGTAAAATTTTCCACTTTTTTTATCATTCGAATTTATGGAAATATTTTAGAAATTAATTTGATAAAAAAATTAAAAATTGACAAAAAAATTTGCTTTTTCTTTTCATTTGAAGTCAACTTTTATTTTAAGAAGAAAATTAAGAAATTTTAATTGTTATTAATTATTAAATTCATTTAATTTTTTTTAGTATTTAAAAAATATTAAAAGTTTAAATGTTTTTAAATTTAATTTTTACTTAAATTTAATTAGATAATTAAATTAAAATTTAAAAAATAGTTTAACAATTGGTTCAAAAAAGTGGAATTTAACGAGGCGATAGAGTAGTAATAAAATCGAAGAAAATTTCATGATAAAAGACAAATATCGAAGATAAATGGTAAATGATTATGCTTATTCCATTGGCTATTTGTAGGATGAAATAAATTTGCTAGGGAGTCACTTGGGGATAAAAGTACTGATGAATTCCCGGTAATAAACGGCTTTTTTAATGTTTACTCTTACCAGTAGTAAATTTAGGAAACTATGATGCTTGAAATAATAATCGAGGAAATAGCCACTCGGTTATTATAACCTCAAAATTTTATCATTCTCAATTGATTAAAAACCATTATTAATATTGATTAAAAACCATTTTAAAACTAAAATTTACTGAAATGTATTAAAAATTGATGATAATAATTGTAAATTGATAATAGAAAATATTTTTATCATATATAAATTGTAAATTGATAATAGAAAATATCTTTATCATACATAAATTGTAAATTGATAATTGAAAATATCTTTATTATATATAAACTTTTTATCCTTCAATATTACATATTTTTTGTAATTTCGAATTTTACTTTTCAGTTCGTTTTATTTGAATTTTTAAAAATTTTATTTTAATCATGCTATTTAATTATTTAAATTATTTGGATAATCATTATCATTTATTTATCATTTAATTATCAATTATAATAGTTATTTGCACAAATACGTTAATGAACCGATTAATTCCTATAATGTAGAAAGATCATTAAGGAAATACTATGGGTTGTAATGCGTAATTATTGAGTAAATATCCGTGATTTTCCTTATTTATAATTATAATTGCTATAGCCTTACGCAATTTTTTAAAAAATTCATATGCATTAATATTGAATAAGTATTAAATGAATTGCATTGCATAAATTTGCTGAATTTTATGGCTAAATGGTTTATGGCTTTTGGTTTGGTTTTGGTTATATTTCACCAAAATACACCAAATACACCAAATTTTTCTTAATCAAATACAGAAAAATGACAAATTATATTCGTTTTATGCAAAATGCATTTTAAATAATTAAAAAATCGTTATAATTTTATTTTATTTTTTTTTTTTCTGCTATGATTTAAAAGCGTTGAAATTATAAAAATACTAAAATGAATTAAAATAAAGGACTAAAAAAAAAAAAAAAAACCATCGCAAATGATTAAATGGTCTTAGAAAAGATTTGATTTTGAATAGAATTAAATTTTTATTGATATTTTTATTTCTCAATATTATTTTAAAATGATCTCGCTTCGATTTTAGTTAGATTTTAAATTCACCCACTGGAGGCGGAATGAACGCATTGGATTGCTGTTGTTCTCATCTCTGAGTATCTTCTCTGAGTTTTTTGAAAAAAATTCAGGTAACTCATTCCGGTGACTCATTCTATCATCAATTTTCTTCAACTGGAAAAATTTGCCTGGTGTGATAAACCAGTAAAGCGAACCAGAAATAACCAGAAATGATGAGCATTCTTGGGAAAAAAATTTTTCATTAATACTTTTTCATAATTTCTTTGGTTTATCAATTTCATACAAAAAGTTTTTGCTTAATTCAACATGGCAGCTTTGATCAATGAAGTTCCATTTATCATTATGGTTTCTGATATTATCAAGACTGATATTGATTTGATGAATAGTCGAATAGCCTACTATTTCATTAGATTTATTATCATCAAACGAGAGAAATTGTATCCATCGTCACTTGTCATCCCTGTCGAATGCAGAAATCAGTGAGAAAGGAATCATAATAGAAAAAAAGTTTGCATTCATATCATATTATTGGTTTGCTTCAGATTTCTAGGTTTGATTTATATTATATTACGCCCTCGAGCCTCTCAGATCTGTGGAAAGATCCGAGGTTGAGGATGACCTATATCTGTGGAAGGATCTAAGGTTGAGGACGACCTATATCTGTGGAAGAATCCGAGGTCTATATCACTCACAAAGAATGAGAAAGGGATATATATATATATATATATAATATGCATGAACTACTTATGCCAACTTCTATCTTGAATAAAATTAAACCTTCCATTGCGATTTTGCGATTTCTTAGAAAATTCGCTTATTATTATTCTTATTTAAAAAATAAATTTTTTTTTTGTTGATATTGGAGATATAAATTTATATATGAAACGAAATTATAAATCTTTTTAATATATTTTAATACATTTTAATAATATATTTTAATATATTATATATATTTATTATTTAATATATATTTTAATCGTAAAATTTCTAAATTTAATGAAATTGACAAATAAAAAATTTAATAAAAAAAAGCAAAGTTTGAAATAATATTTCTCGCGAAATTTCACCGTATTTTCATCCCGGAATATTGTAAATTTCTTGAATTTATTTATGCTTTCTTGCTGATAAAGAATTATGTGTTTGTCTGAACGAAGCACATGAAATTATGCAATTTTTCTTGATTTTTCTTAATTTTTCTTGAAAAGCTTCTTCAAATTGTATTTAATTTAAGAAATTATAAAATATTTAAAAGAAAATTTTTTGCTTAAAGAAAAAAATATAAATTACAAAATTTTGGTTAATTTTTAGCGCAATTATACTAATCTCGATTATCATAATGAAATTCTAATCTATTCTAATTTTTTTAAGGAAACCAGGTAGGGGTCACTGGAATTATTTTAATAGATCGCCTATAGAAAAAATATAGACTGACTTAGACTGATGGATTGAAAATTCAATATTTTTACAGCAATTAAGTTGACTTGTTTAGTAAAGCAAATGGTAGTACGTGAAGAATACGTGAAAAAATTTTCAAAAACTAATCCCTCAATTCTAAAAAAATTTTTTTGTATTATTGAGCGATTTGAAGAGGAAATTATAAAATTAAAGGTGAAGGGATGGTCAAATACGTTACGTAAAACCTATTCGCAAGACTTAATCTCTTCATTTTCTTACAATTTCTTTGTCGAAAGCATCAATTAGCGAGATAAATCGCCTAATAAGTTTGTTTTCGACTCTTCTATCTCTATTTCTAAAGCCTCAATTTTTTTTGAAATAAAGCTTATTGGCTACGTTAATAGCATTGCCCTAAATAGTAGCCTCAATTTTTTGAGAAAATAGATATAGCAATAATTCTTCGTTTCATTATTCCTGTCGATGTGTTACTATGTGTTAATATCAGCAAAAACTCGCTTTGCTTAGTCATTTTTTTAATTATCACTTACATATATCTTATCTATCAATCGCAATTAACTAAAGAATAATTGAGTTTTTTTCTCAATAGATAAATTATCGACATTGAAGTAATACGATGAGAATAGGACTAATCGCGCCTATTGCCCATCTAACCGAATAGTAATCTAAATTTATTATTTTATTATTTAAATGTGATCGAAATTTACTATTCTCATAGAATAAAATTTATTGATAAATCTAAAATCAAAGCTTTAATGATAGCAAAAA